GGAAACTCAAACCGACTCCTAAAACGACTGGCTGGCGTCAAAATAAGGCTTGACGTGTTTTTGACTGCCTCTACCTTGGCCAAATCAAAGTAGTTCTCGTAACATCGAGTCGACAAAATCGTTACTGTCAAAAGGCTATCAGACGACTGATACACTGTCATTATTATAATACTATATTACTAATGTTTTTGTACAGTAGAGAAAATCAATCCTTCCATCGGAGTTGGATCGATTCTTTCCTAAACTCCTAGCTTCTCATATCGTGAAAATGATCTTTGATGTTAATAAATTGAATTCAGTGCATTCCATGAAGCTAAATGTTGTTAAAATTAGTTTTTCAATAAAACGGGAGACCCTTCCTAATACGCGGTCTTCGTTGAAGCTTCCTCTACACCTTCAGGAAGGGTTGCTATCGTCACTTCTAGCCTTCCCGATCGGTGAAATATGTCCAGTAACGATTGTAACTGCACAATTATTATTACTCGGAAGGCTTGTTTTTTTTTTAATGTCAGTTGTTATTCTCGACTTAATTGCTGCCGTTTTCTCTCTCGCGTGTATTTTCATAGCGAAAGTTGGCGTTCTTATTTTTGCGGTTTTTAGCTATCGCGAATCTCAAATTGTTACGTGTCATGCTTCTCCAAAGCGAAAGTGCAAAAAAATTTACTTCACTTCTAAATAACCCTTCTTTTTTCGGTTCTTTGCTGATAGCGTCATTCTTCGTCATTTTGACCGTATCGTGCGATGATTTTCTTCCGAATAAAAATCAACGGCATTCTGGTCGAATGGCACACCATTTTTTATGCAAAAAAAAAAGATTTTTTTTTTGAACCTTACAATCCATTTAATCCATTCTAAATCAATTTACGATTCTAAATGGGCTATCATAATCGTAAATGGATTTCTATAAACAATGTTATCTGCGTAAAAACCTTTTAAATCTTTTTTGTCAATTGTTTTCGTCTAAATTTTCTTACGAAATGATTTAAATCTCAAGTTTGTCAGTGCGGGATGGTGTTCTTAATATAGTTTTTGTTTCAGTGTTTGTTGTCACTATTCTGGATATTCTATTCATTTCTACGAATAAAAACATTATACAGATAATGAACGCTATTTTTAGCATCAGATTTGACGAATTGATTAGTATTTGCTTTTGTGTAGCGCCGATTCGATAATTTTCTAATTCCCCAGGGAAAATTTTTTGCGTCACATCACTAAATATTGATGTCAAATTTTTATACCGTTTATGAATTGCTTATTCATTCTGAGCTCACAAATTGGGCTTTAGTGTGGGCTAAATTTTGACTAATTCTCTAGACAGTTTTCAACTAGCAAACGTTACTTGCTCGCTTTTTTGTTTGTAAAATAAAGTAAAAACAAAGCTCCATTCCTTTTTTTTCGACAGTGAATTTTGTTTTTCTATATTATAATTTTTTTTGAATGATGATTTATAGTGCATTATTGTTATTATGACTTGATCAATTCTGATAATTATTGGTGGCTGCTTATTGTGCATGGAGAAAAAAGTTTTTTTTTAAATGAAAGGTTAATAACTTCAGAAGACAGGATTCCTCCACACTTTCAGGCGTCGGAACAATTTTAAGATTCCTTGAGGTTGTGATCTTTTCTTATTTTGGATACAACGCAGCCACCATTTTGCAGTCAAATTTGGAAGCATGACAAAAATGGACAAATCTTCTCACAAAAAATGAATTGCTATTGGTACAGTAATCAATTTTGGAAGCAGCGCCATGCATTTTAATTGGATTATAGGGGAACATTTGATTGATAGCTCTGCGACTAGCATTTTTTTCTTAGTATGTACAGTTAGCATTTTTGCAAAAAAAATGGCATCATTTTTTTGTAGTTTTGTGTGTCTAGAATCCGTTTTAAGACCATTGGATGGAATGTATAAATTTGTAACATCCTCAATTTTTATAAAAGGTTTTTTTCTTAAAACGCTATTCGCACAATGTTCATAGTATATAATTTTATGCCTAGCTTTTTTAACGGAAGCTCGGGTCATCTTTTTTTGGTATTTTTTGTCTCCATAATCAACTTCAATACCATTATCCTTGATTTATCGATTTTGAACAACTTCAGGTTCAGTTTTTTAATTTTTGTTGATATAGAAGAAAACTCTATTTTTGAAGTCGTTTTATTTTCTATAGTTTGAAATTGTATGACTAGCATTTTTTCATTTGCTCCATTTGTAAAAATTGTCTCACTAGCGTTTTCCTAGTGTGGAGGTCAATCCGGGGAAGTGATAGAAGTAGATTACTCCAGAGGCTGTCAAATTTTTTCTTAATTATATGGACGTCGTTGATACAACTGTCCGGGTCGAGGTGCTCAATTTATAATTCGACCGTCTCGACCAAAATTTGGAATGTTTCAATCGTCCTCGATCGTGTTCGGAAGTTATCCAAAACTAGATGCTAAAGAAACAGTTCATAGTTCTCATTATTTTCAGTAAAATAAGCAACGCGAGGAATTATCGTTAAAAATTATAGTCGTACTGAAAATTTAAAAAAAATTGAAGAAAAACCATTCGTCAAACATCTCGGAGCTATAGTCGATCAAATTCTAAATTATCATCTGGAAATACTAAGATTTTGAAGAAATTTGGCTTGTGTCATTAAAACATTAGCCTCCGTCAGAAAACCATAACCGATAAAAAATTGAATGTGAAAACATCACGATAGCTCAAACGGCTGATTCTTAGGTTATGCAAAATAAGAAAAAGATTTCTCTTGGTTTCGTTAGAGCGCTTAAAATTGTTCTCGGAATATTAACAAATATTTATCTAAATCTGAATTTGTTGATCTTAAATGAATAGTCATAGCCGCCACCGCTGGTCTTTGATTAATACCAGAGAATAACGAGCGTTGCAAAAGTAGCACACTATAATCCAGATCGTCGATGACGAGAAGTGATCCGCCATATTGGCAGGCGCATCTAGTTGATGAAGACCCGTTCTCCGCTAGCTCATATAGGGGCCTGAGATTCCCATTGGCCATCTCGAATTGATAGCGAGAAGTACACAGCCATGCCCATTTGCGCCCAACTGTTGATGGTATGTTGTACTCTTGCGGCATTTGTGTTCCTAATCGCATGTACAGTGGATAAAGGAACCCAAAAAATTGATCGAGCGGGTTTTCTACTTCTGACATTTGACTGAATCGCGTTCAGCGGACCAAGTGAATAGTTTGCGATAGCTGAAACAGATGATTCTTAGGTTATTTCAATTAGGAATAAGATTTATCTTGATTGTGGAAACGCGGGTTAAAATATTCGTGGAATATTAACAACTATTTATCTGAAATAGTTGATTGTCCAAGATTTCCTATGATTAAAGTCGTTATGGTTCTAATACATAATTCGGTGTTCCATTTGTCTGAATATCAATTAAAAAATATTTAAGTTGGGCAGTAATAGAATTAAGTATAGATCAGCGTCAATATTGGCGATAAGATTTCTCCACGATTGGAAACTAGCATGTCACTTCTGGAAAAAATGACATAACATATTATCAGCCTTTATGAAGCTAGGTTATTTAAATCATCAGCCGACTGAACATCGTCGATCAGTAAACTTAATGCTACATTTATGGAAAGTTTTTTCTTTTATAAGGTCTGTACCAATATGGAACTCAATAAAAGAACATAAGGTAATCGAAACGCTCTAAAGATATTACCATGAGCTGAAGTTTTGAAAAAATATAATCATTTTTTTTTCGATATCTGTAACTTGAAAATAAAAATGTGGCGGCCTGTGGAAAGATAACTAGATAAATAATTGATTTCCTAAAATGCCCTTATGTTTTTTAACCGTGTTATCTTGGAATCTTTATATAATTGTTAATTTCATTTTTTTAAGTGTAAAAGAATGAATGAGTCTTAATGATTTTTTCAGGAAAAGTCTGAGTGTTCACGCACGTTCAATTTTGATTTTTGGTGGTTTGACTTGTGATTTATGTTTGAGTAGACTTCTCTTTCTTTATTAAATGAAGGTAAACTCCACTATCGAACAGCAGAAGTCGAAAGGCAACAAAAAAGTGGAATGACTTCTAGTTTCGAAATTGGACTTTAATTTTCCGAATTCTGAGAGGAATATAAAATTGCCTTTTGATCCAGTTTACTCTAGATAAGATAGATAATTTAGTATTAGTTAAAAAGATAGTATTTAAAACCAATAGAAATTTATAGAAAAATATCCTGCAAACAATAAAAGTTTATTTGAAGCCCGAGTAACTATTGATATAATTTTTTTTGTAAATGAGTAATATACCTAACAAAAATTGCATGACCTACCCTTCCATTATGTTATTAGCTAACGTTTTGCAATAAGATTTTGTTTTTAATTTGAGAGCTTCAACGTGATATATCTTTTTCCTCGAAGTTGGAAAAATGTTCAAAAAATTTTTATCGGTTTCTGAGTTTTTGTTTACTTATTGCCAATCTTTATTGGCGATTTTTAGTAATGTAATCTTTGTTTTTACACTTGCGATCAGCTTAGTGTAGTGTTACGAGCATTCTTTTTTTCTAACTTAACTCGCAAATAAAATGTTCATTAAAAGTTATTTGGAATTTTCACTGTATCATTGGAAGTTGCACAGCATATGTTCTCTTTACTTGTGGCTCGTGTTTAGTGCCTATTGAGCGGCCGTGGCTGAGTGGTAAGTTTGAGGGACTCATAATCTCTTGGTCGCATATTCGATTCTCAGGCGTAGCCGTTTTTTTTTAAACTAATTTGAGGCTTATTTCGAATTTTTCTTGTTGCTTTTTATAGAGCTGCTTTTTGTCGTGTTCTCGCAAGTGTTTACGAAGCTTCGCCTCTGTGTAAATCTTGATTTTTAATGAATAAAATGTTTCTTCTTTTTAGTAGTAACTGGTGACCTGCCAACGATTACTTTCAGCTTTCCAAATTTAGAAAGCTTTGTTTTTAAAAATTGAATTTAGATGATCCACGGTGTGTAAAAGTTCGCTGATGTTTTTCAGGTTAATATGGATACTGCTCAAAACGACGAGGTTGATTTCTCAGGGAACACTTTCGTTATTCGGCCGAATTTCAAACACAAATTCCGACCAGTAGCAGTTAGGGAAGTGATTAATTCAGTTCTCTCAAAGAATCTAACTGACAAAACATATAACGCGGAAGAAGTTGCCGATCTTACGAAGACGCTCTCAGAAAGTATCAAGGAAGCAGTCAAGGAGCTGGGATATGATCGGTACCGACTGTTGGTCCAGGTAGTCATTGGGGAACAGAAAGGAGAAGGTGTGAAAATGGGCTGCAGATGCTTCTGGGACGCTGACACGGACAATTATGCCCAGGACACATTTATGAACGACTCGCTCTTTTGTGTAGCGGCAGTTTTTGGACTTTTCTATTACTAGATAGTTTCAACTCATATCACAATGTAAAATTCATTTGATCCGAATGTAAATGTTGTTAAGTACGTGAGCCTAATGTAAATATTGTAAAATACGTACATAGAAAAAGACTGTTTTATTTGGCTGGTTCATAAATGAAAAGTATCCTTGATCTTTCAACCTTTCTTGAAAAGTACAGCTTTTTTCAAATAAGTGTCATTTTTTCTGCGTGGTGTGATAAAACGGATCAGAACGAACAACTAAACAGTCGTTGTAAAATGCGCAATTTGGAAAAGTTTTTGTAGAAAAATGATGAGAAAAATAAAAAATCTTACATTTTTTTAAATTTTTTTTTGGATTTCAATTTTTGATTCCAAAAAGGAGCTAAATTACTCAAAAAAACTAACTTTACTCGATTAAAAGTAAGTTTGTACGGCGTAAATCAGGGACGGATTCAGGGGGGGGGCGGACGTCCCCTTATGTGCATCCCCCTTATGTACCTTATATATTAGGTCCTCCTTTTGGTACTTTTTAAGAAATCCATTTCGAAATGCAACAAAAAAGTGGAATGACTTCTAGTTTCGAAATTGGACTTTAGTTTTCCGAATTCTCAGCGGAATATAAAATTACTTTTTATCCAGTTTTCTCTAGATAAGATAGATAACTTAGTATTCGTAAATCAGATAGTATTTGAAAACTAATGGAAATTTTAAAGAAAATTATTCTTGAAACAAATTAAGTTTATTTGAAGCCCGAGTAACTATTGATAGAATATTTTTTGTAAATGATTAATATACTGAAAAAAATTGCATGACGTACCCTTGCATTAGGTTATTAGCTTACGTTTTGCAATAAGAGTGTTCTTTTTATTTAAGAGCTTCAACGTGATATATTTTTTCCTCGAAGTTGGAAAAATGTTCAAAAATACAATTCTTTTTATCGCTTTCGGCATTTTTTTCTACTTTTTGCCAATGTTTTATTTGGCTTGTTCGTAAATGAAAAGTATCCTTGATCTTTCAACCTTTCTTAAAAAAGTACATCTTTTTTCAAATAAGTGTCATTTTTTCTGCGTAGTGTGATAAAAAGGATCAGAACGAACAACTAAACAGTCATAGTAAAATGCGCAATTTGGAAAAGCTTTTGTAGAAAAATGATTAGAAAAATAAAAAATCTTAGATTTTTTAAATTTTTTTTTCATTTATTTCAACTTTTGATTCCAAAAAGCTAAATTACTCAAAAAACTAACTTTACTCGATTAAAAATAAGTTTGTGCGGCGTAAGTCAGGGGCGGACGTCCCCTTATGTACATCCCCCTTTTTGTACCTTATATATTAGGTCCCCCATTTGGTGCGCGCGCCAAAAAACCCAATTTTTGGTCAAAACAGCGCCTTTTAGTGCTTTAGGAGAGCTCGGAAAATCAATTTGGTCGACTTAAAAAAAAATTTCGAACGTTTTTTAAAAAGCCCCCCCCCTCGAGAAAAATCTAGATCCGCCCCTGGCTAAATTATGCTATTGTAAGCTTTTAAGCTAATAAAATAAGCTATTGTAAGTCTACTTGCTCGAAATTAGACGAAAAATCAAAAATTTCAAAACGGTTTTTCTCGACATAACGAAAACTTTTGTCGACACAAGGAAAATTTTTTAATCTTCAAATTATGACTGAAAGGGATTTAATGTGATATATAACTCAACTAATTTTGATAATTTTTTGTGGAAGCTGATTTTGCTTGGAGAAAATCTAAAACACACCCGAATACTAAGTTCCTCCCGATTTTTCAATTTTTCAGAACAAAAAAAAAATACATTCAAAGCCACACCTCCAGATTGAGCCTCGAAATGTAAATCTGAATGTGAATTTTTAAATTGAAAATGCCATGTAATGATTTTCATAGCCAATTAGTTCAAGACTTTCACAGCAAAATAGTTCAAGACTTTCAAAGCAAAAAAAGTTTTTCACCAGAAAATACTCACTCAATTTTGTTAGTGTCACCAAAAAAAATAGCAAAAAGTAGCTTTCGTAACTTTTGTTTTCACTACATTCAATTACATATCTCTGCTGCGCTGTAATTAAACTGCAAGTTATTGCTTTTGAAATGTTTCCTGGAAGTGCTTAGTCAATGTGGACAGGACAGTTATTTATCTATATCCGAAAAGCTATAAAATTGAAATACTACAAAAGAATGCACACCCAGAATTGCAAATAACCACTTTGATAGTACAAACCAGGGATCTCTTACCCTGTCCCCCTTTTTTCAAATATTAGAGAGCGACCGTTGAGGAGCAAAACCAGTTAAAGAGCAACATCTTATGCAACAGTTAAAGAGATTTGCAACAGTTAAAAAGATTTGCAACAGTTGAAGAGCAACACCTTTTGCAGCTCCCTTGGTCGACAGTTAAAGAGATCCGAGATCATAAACCAGCGTAACTGGTCGCCGAGGAACTTGCACAGAATATCGCGACTACGAAATAAAATGAGAAATTGAAATCGTTATGACAGTAGAAAAAAATTAGAAATTGAAAAATTTCTTCAATTTTTACAATCAAAAGAAATCATTCTTCACTAGGTGTTTTTAATGAAGGGCAACCGACTGCGGTGTCACACTGAAAAGGCAGTTGAATAATTGCTTCAATCTTGAAATTGTGGCGTTTTGAAAAACAGAAGACATACTATATGAGTTAGGACCGAAGTGTAACTCATAGAGTAATTTCGGATAGGGTACACCGTCTGCTCGTCACGCTATCTTATTTTCGGCCGGATAGATTCGTGCAACTTCTTAGTCTAATACCGATCCTAATCTTACTCTTATACTATCTAGTCTCAGGTTGTTTAACTAGTCTCTGCTAGGCTCAATAGATCTAGGGTATACTGGTTTATTGCGGTTGCTGAAGTGCTCGGGAGAGTCCAACTAATTTCTAAGTTAAATTCAAATCTCTCTGGTGCTGAAATTACAAGTAACTTCAGCACTTACAAATAAGTGGGTTGTTAGTTAGATGGATCATGATTGGTTAATATTCAATACTTTACATTGGTAAAACATTTAATTTATCCAATCATAAAATATAGTTTAGATCAGGTTCCATATACTCGACCCCATGAGCCAGGAGTCTCGTGCGCATTTGGCGGGGAGGTAACTCATATGCCTAAAACAACAGACCGGGTATTCGATTCCAGTAATGATCTATTTTTTGCAAGCTGAAAACTGTCGTCTGTTTTAGAATATCATCTGTATCTTTTGTCGGGTTAAGGACTTTTTTAAGGTTTGGTTTCTTTCTGGCAGTCCTGAAGCTCTTCATGAGGATTTTTAATGGTGTAGATAAGTTTGTTCTTGGTTTTTTTTGACTTTTATGCAATTATTACCAAATGTTTTGATTTTCTTCCATGAGTTTTTCTCGATTTTAATTTTCATTTGCTTTTGTCATAGTCATTCGTTTTTGTATCGCAAGTGGTGCGACGCTCAGCTTCGCCTCTGTGTCATCAACTACTTAACTCATTTTTTGTGATTTATTGGAGTAATGGGAGGGCAATTATTTAGCAATACGATGCAGGAATGATGGACAATCGATAAAAATTTTCAATACAGTTAAATTAGATCAGGAGTTGAGTTGTTTGTTCATTCCGCTTATTAAACAACTTTGAAAGAGAGACCAAGCAGAGTTGCGCACTACCTGCTTTATATTATAGTTATCGCATGGCAATTAAGCCAAAAGAAACTGAGACGAAAATCACTGAATCGAAAACATTGTTTGAAAAAAATATCAAGAAAAAAAGTGATTATTTTGAAGCTCCTTAGGTGAGTATTCAGATTGAGGCCCGACCTCTACTCGTGTTTTTATCTATATGTGCGTTCCTCAGTTTTGTAGTTATCTGATTTTGTCTCAACTTTTGTCAGCTTTGATTTTTTCTGCATTTTTGCAAACGTTTTACTTAGTGTTCTTACCATTGGATGAACAACGATAAAAAAAAGTTTGGCGTTCGTTTTTGCTCATTTCTGGGTTTCCAACCAAAACTCCGTAAACATATCCTTCAATAAGTCATTTTAAAAAATCTAAGTGCATGCGCTTATACAGAGATTGGAACCTATCAAATCTTTTTTGAAAACGTTTTTTTTAACTTCGAACTTTTTTGGATTAACTACCGCTGCGATTAACAAGGGTTATGGAGATTACGCAATTTGAAAGTTTTTTTTTAAAATGTTTTTTGTCCTCAAACTCCCAGGCAGAATAGATATTCGTCTACATCTGCATGGATAATCGTGATATGAAGTTTTTCAAACATTTAGTTAAACATCCATTTTTGAAGTTTTGTCTCTTTTTCCAAGTAGCTTACTTTTCTATGTTTGCTATTAGTTGCAAGTGGCTAGGAGATTTGCTTCATTTCTGTGTTGGATGCTACTAGCCGCAAAATTTTGTCCAAGTCTGTTGTTCTGTTGTGTTTACACAAGCATAGCTTGTGTTATAGTATGAACTTTCTTTTTTTATCCAACCTAAGTCGCAAATATTGTTGCGATGCAATTGTTGCGACAAAATGTGTTCATTTTGAAAGTGATCATTTTGATCCATCTATTAAGTACAACCAATGCTAAGGATATTAAACAGGAATTTTATATTACAAATAGCACTTTAGCTTCAAGGTATCAGGGTTCTGTAGCGTAGAGGTAGGGAAGGAGACCAGTCAGCAGTTTAAGAGAGCTCTAGCCTCTGCAGGTTCGGATGTTTTAAATGATTTTTTTTTTCGTATACTAGTTGAAATGTGTCCGCTCTATAAATTCAGGCATGTTATTTGGTTTTTTTTTCAAATTGACTGGTACTGCTAATGCGTCATAATTGACATGCGCCACTTAGCAATTACGTAGACTCAAAGTTTTACTGATTCAGTTTTTCCCAGTTGCGTTGTCGGTCATATTTTTGCTTGCGTATGCGAAGTACATTTTTGCTTGCGTATTCGAAGTACATTTTTGCTTCTGTGTAAGATGAAAAATAATGCCTGGAGAACAAATCAGCCAGGCATTGATGTGGATTTTTTG